AGGGATTATTCTTTTGAAATATCAGGGAAAGTTATAAGAACAAACGGAATTTTCATAATTTTGAAAACTGAATTGGACTTGGCTGATAGACTAATTGGGCAAACGAAATTCTTGTTCAGTTAAACTCATCAGGAGTTGACGAATGCAGAGAATTGCAACGCCACTGCCTCACTATGTACTAAGAATTATTGTACGACCTTGCTGCTGGCTCGCATTTCTTAATCGGTCTTATTCACGTTGTCTTCGATTCTATCCATGTCGATTTGTTGGTTCAGGAAATTTTGAACGTCCAAGGAATTCAGCTTCCTTAACTGAAAGGATATGAGGGCTTGCTTTGTTACGGAAGCGCAGAAGGGCCACAAATTTTTATGATTTTTTTCTTGAAAATAACGACTTTAGAGTCGAAATTTCGACTTTGATCCCGAAATTTTTACTTTATTCTAGAAATTTCAACTTTTTTCAAACGACTTAAATCTTGCAATTTCGAGATTGAAGTTGAAATATCACAGAAACAAATATTATAAATATAAGGCCGTTCAGCGCTTCCATATTTGTTAGCTCAGAAACAATAGTTTTTTCAACTACCTATTACTTTTACTGGTATTACCTTGTTTCTGATAATTTCAACGTGGTGATAGATACATTTCCTTCAATATTGCAATTTTTTATTATCTCCTGAGGACACCATCTTGGTTGTCGAGAATAGTATTACAGTTCTGATGTATCGCAGCTGAATCACCAGAGAACGGATTGAAGTTCAATCTTCATCTTGAAGATAATCACTTGGTGATCGAAACACGTGTCGATGTATTAAAAATATCGATTTGGTGTTGGGATAAAACTCCATTAATATGCATTACTACACCAAAGGTTCCAAAGAGTGCATCACAAGTACTTCATCAGTTCATACCATAATATAATATTCTGTATTTCAGTGTGAGCCGTTTTTGATGTTGATAATAAATGTTTCAATGGGTTCCGATCACATTACGTACTAGGATTCGAATCAACAATCAATATTTTGAACGTAAACTTAATTATTTCATTTTATTGAAATATATGATTTCTTCATTCTCAAATGTGAAGGTTGTTTTATGTATTTTAATAGAATGAAGATTTTAAATAATGACGATGTTTTTACCCACACGATTCAAAAGTATTTCATCATTGGCAAAATAATACGTTTCTTCTTTATGATTCGAATATGAATTCAAACCTGATAAGTTGATCGAAATATTCACTCATCCATTATTTATTGAGCAACTTGTTGAAAAAATATGATCATTTTATATTCATTAAGGAAAATGGTTTTGTTTCACAGCTTTTCTAGTACCCAATCTATAGATCGGATATGTTTCCTCTAATGAGGTATCTAAAACGATTCTGTTGTATCGACGAGAAAGTGAAAACTAATTTTTGTTAAATTGATTTAGGCGAGATTTTCATTGTTACGATCTTCATTCGGGTTCGAAAGCCGTCGTGGTTTGGAACTGTATCCTGATGTTTCGCCAGCATGAGTGGCTGGCTTCTTCAGAGGTTTATTCATCTTGATGGTTCACCGATCGTTATATTTATGTTCACACAGGTAGCCCGCCTTTTTTGTTGAAGCGTTGTTATTGACCGAAGTGTTATTACCTGTTGATGACTTTGCATGGCACTGTTGCCACCTCAGCATCTTTCAGTATGGGATTCCAAATCCGGTTGAGCGTTATCGCCCCGTCTTTTCGGTTGTAGTTTTCCGTATGTTCATGGATTTCTATGGCTTCCCGTACAAGCCGACTGTGGTATCCATGATCGGGTGCAAGTAGTTTCACATCTTTAAACAGTATCCTATGACCTGCTTTACTAAACGCGTGTTCTGCTACTGTCGATTTTTCTATTTGACCTGATCTACAGTTTCTCCGATGTTCAATCAGCCTTGTACCCATTGATCTTTTGGTAGTACCGATATAAACTTTTCCGCAGATGCATGGTATACGATATACCCCCACAGCTGATGGTGTATGTCTTTTGTGTTTCGCAGATCTCAGGCCTTGTTGTATTTTCCTAGCTTGAACACTATTTTTATGTTATGCTTTGTTAAGATTTTTCCGATTCTATCTGTAACCCTAGAGATGTACGGTAGAAATGCACGTGCAACCGTTTGAGTTTCCACCATATTTTGACTTGTAGAAGTCTTCAGTTTCATGGCCTTGTTGATCTATATGCAGATATCTGTCCGTATGTGTCGGTTTTCGGTACACGTCACCTATGTGTCAGTCTTGTGCCACGCCTTTTGACGAGTACATATATAGAAAAGTTATTCGTTGTTCCTGTTCAGTCTCGATGGTGAACTTGATGCTAGGGTGTTGAGCATTCATGTGGTCTAGAAATAGGTTCAGTCTGTCCCTCCCATGTCTCCAGGTAACGAAGGTGTCATCCTCGTATCGTAGCCAAAAGGTTGGTTTGAAATTGGAAGCGTCAATTGCTTCTTCTCAAATTTCTCCTTCTATGACTGGGCTGAGTGGTCTTCCCATATACACCGTCTAATTGTTCATAGAAATTTCCTCTTCATTGGAAGTAACTTCCCGAGAGGCAGGCCTTTAAGAGTAACTGATATACACTGATCAGAGTATATTTATTATATTACTCTAATGAACCGAAATCCATGGTAACAAATACAAAAACCAGTATAAATCATACTATAGTTATTTTTTTTATTCTATGGTCAATATGAATTTCTATAAAATGAATGAGTCATCAGTTGGTTGCTATTGCTAAGATTCCATCGAATGAAAAGGAGCCACTGGAAAAAAATCATATACAGGAATCATCATCTCATTATCGGAATCGGATCGTAATAATACGAAGTCAGAGTATGCTTTTTCGGAAGTTCAAATAACAAATTTTAGTGCAAAATGAAACATGTCGCTAACATATGCAACACACATGTGTAAGTAAATATCATCACAAATGTACCTGAATGTACAAGCTCTATTGAAATATGCGGGAATATACAGGGTGTCTCATAAAAATATGGTTTTCCATCAATAACCATTGATATCTCATTGAAAAAAAAATTTTTCCAAAACATCGAACTCTACGTAAAAAACTGCTTTGATAATGTTTCCATTGAAACAAGAAATACAGGAAAAAAGTTGAAGCAAATTTACGAAAATACACATTTTCGAAAAATTGAGAAACGATGATGTCGATGTGTGATTTTCATAACTGAATTCGTCATAAAATTTGACCCCTAGATACAGCCATCAGTATTCATCTATCTATTTTGGAAACAGGAGTTTCTCGTTAGAAGTGTCTAATTTGGCACACACTGTACTTATGAATATGGTTTTGGTATCAAGCTAAGAGCTTGTCCTGATTGAGCTGATAGCTAAAATCTATAAATTGGAGAAATCAAATTAATTGCAACAAAAAAAAGTTTTTTTTAACGACAAAAAGGTATCAATTTTTGCTCTCTGTTAGAACGTCAATTTTTTGTTTTGTTTCCTTAGTTCAGAAGTAGTTCCGAGTAAACTTAAAAATTCTTTCTGACGCTGAGTCTACAGAGGAGATGGATGTCGAGCTTACGACTCCAACTGATCTCCCTGTAAATTTAGATCAGGAGCGAGAACTTCTCAACTCTCCAACTCCTGATTCAATAACTGAGCCTTGCACCAAATTCTTGAGCAGCGTACGCAGAATCTGTCTCAGGTGGAGGAACAAACCCCCCATGAGCAGGTTAGCAAACGTTTGCGCTCAGGTGATGATTCACCAAAACCAGAGGCGAAAAAGCCCTGCACGGTTGAATCTAAGCCATCGTCAGGTGTGGTTGACGTGCAGAAACCTCCATATGGGAAGGTTGTCGCGGGTATCAAGGTGGGAATCTTGCACCTTGACTATCTGACTGTCCCGCTGGGGACCAAATCAAGTTTTTTAGAGTTCGGCAGAGCCGTACTCTTACCTCTGACCTGAAAGATCACTCACCATACAAACTAATTAGCTTTGTTAAGAAGCTGAGTGTATTTGGTCGTGTGTGAATCGGTGTCACAATAAACCCTTGCGGGTTGCGGTGGAGGGTCGAATAGACCAACTCACTTTGGACCTAACCTAACCCAACCTAATTCATAAGCCAATAATTCCGGAGATTCTTCAAGTAGTTGAAGATTTCTTCTTGAATCCTTCATTTTCAATTTGAAAAGGATATATTTTCATGTGGGAATCCTCCAAAGAAAGAAAGATAGCAATAAATTCCAAATTGAACTCATGAAGATGTGTGGATCATGCAAAGAAGTAACTTTCAGACACAAACCGGAAAAAACGCTCTTGAAGCAAATACTTTCACATACACATTGATTTGCATTATTTCATGCCTGTAAACACTAGATTTTTGAAATAACTGTTAGTATAGTCTTTGTAGATTTATAAGCATTATGGCTCCGATATAATACACAGAATTTCAGAATAGGCACGACTTTCGAAAGTGGTAGCGGTCTCCTAGTTCCTATTAGAATAAACCATTTTTACAAGCTTTCATTTACCTTATAATATTGGTATGTTCGTTAGAGTCATATCTTGTAACTGAATTTTGTAGCAGTTATAATACTTTTCTGACCCTTGGCATAGGTATTGTCTCAAGTGTTCATAGCATGTTTCATCAACAGTTTTGTGTGTACACGTCTTGCATATCTCTACAATGTCCAACTCTTTGCAATCAAGTCTGTTTTTGAAAAAAAAATTATAACAGAATATGTTGGCATTATCTATTGTTCACAGCTAGGAATTCGGAAATGGGGATAGAACAAAAACTCTGAACGAAAAAATATTTGTTCACTCAGTACAAAACCATCAATAGTAACTCGAGACAAAAAACCTGATTTGTTGACATCAAAGCTGGTATCAACTACTTAGGAATCTAGATTCCATTCACCCCGTAATAATAACTGTAATGCCAGATTATAATGTTAAATGAAATATTTGATATCATAAGTGCATTTCCTAGTTATGATTGCCCAATGGGCAGTTGCAAGGTTGACGGTGTTGCCATTTCGAATGATATAAATCGTTACAAGGCAACTTGGGCCGTAGTCGATGTCACAGTTCTGTTCGATATCAAAAATGGATTTCAAGGTGAGTTTTCATAATTATCAATCAGATACGAGTAGGATCGAACACTCCTACAACAGAATGAGTCAACAACTAATGCAGAGCTGTGTTAATTGGCTTCATTAGAATAATTGTCAGTTTGAATATTCGAATAGATAGATGGGAAAGTGTATTTCATGAAAACCGAAAAATTCTGTTACGCTAGTTGAAAAATATATTGTGGAGACTGATTGGTTTGATTTCTTTATTTTGTAAGTGTAAGATTTTATCAAATTAATGAAAATATTTAGGCAAATATTTGGGTGTTGTGGAGTCAACTACAACGTAAACAGGGGTTGAAATGAAAATTCAGTTTCTCATTCATCTATATCTGACGTAATATTATGTCAAGGTACAAATCTGGAATGATGTCTATGAAATAGTGTGTTCAATAGACTGTAGATTAGCTCAACCCAAAAAAGAGTAGTTGTGATTGCAATATATATGAAATGAAAACTATGGATATGTATATGAGTAAAATAAGTATCATGAAAATTTCACTGCGTACTGTTCTTATTTTCCTGAAGAATTGCAAGTAGCCAGATTTTAAGTTTGTTTTGTGAGCTGAGATCTAAAACTTGAACCTGGGTACCTAACAAAGAAATGTTTCCATAAAGCATATGAGGAATTGATAGCTGGCTACATTATGCAAAATTTGAGAAAAACAACAACAAAATCGGTGTCTTGGATACTCGATAATTACCATATGATTGGATTTTTCACCTCTTTTGTAGTGTAGAACTCTCTTAAAGCTATTCTGAATGATTCCAATCATGTTTATGAATGCAATATTATGGGCACAACATAAATGAAACCAGTTCAGACATCGGCAAAATATAACATTGGTTGATGATAAGTTTTTATAGGTTGTCAAGTTGAAACCTAACAAACTACTACCAAATTTTTTATGGAATATTACCACTTCATTATATCATTGAGGAGTAATACCTTCAAACTTGAAAATAGGTACTAACTTTGACATTAATCAATATGAATTGAAACAAAATAGTTTTTGCAGATGTTTTGTTGAATGTTCATCATTTCCTTCTGAATATAGTTTGGGTTGTCTTTAAATAGCTCGCTGCCTGTGATTTGATATTCCTATCTCTGTCAGTTTATTTTATGGCCTGCAACTGAAGACTTCGTTATACAGCTATTTTGTTAAGATGCGAATGAGATGTTCAGTTAATTGCTTCGTAATCCTTCTGAGCCATTTCTTACATTTCGAAAACATTTTTCATATTTTTTTCTCAGGGCACCATTCATTGTAAATTCTAGCAATCCCATCCAAAAAATATATGGAGTGTTCAGTACACTCATCAGCTTTTTGTTTCCTGTTATTCCTGAGTGTTCTGGCACTCAGATCCTCATGTTATTACAGTATTTTTGGACGAGTCTCTCATTGTTGCTGAACTGATTCTAGTTCACATTGTCCCTCAAATAACTCCATTGTAGTTATTTGAAGCCATTGTTCTACGACACAACAATGCTATTTCTTCGTTTCGATTCAGTGAAAATGAAAATGAGTTTCAAGATTAGACTTGGATATTAAATCAACACGTAACCTTACCATGGGTTTTATTTTTGCAAGTGATTAAAAAAGCTGTGGTATTGAATGAACTTTTCACTGAATTACAGTTGACAGAATGAATTTTTGACATTGCTGTAATCTGTCGATTTGTTTTAACCTGACGTGATTTTCAAAATTTTGTTAAGTAATTATTAGATTCCATGTATTTACTTTAAGTTATTTATAAATAATGTCGTTTGTGTCGTTTCTTTTAGTCCTTGACAAGTGTATGTCATGTTATATCATTTACTTGTATAACAAAAAAAAATATTTCTTTTCAAAGACAGAATATGTCTGTCCGTAGGTAAATATGCTGTAATTCTTCATCCGATCATAATGAATTCATAAATCGACAAATCAAAAATGTTATCCTGATAATATTCTCTCAATTTTTCAAAATTTTGTGAAAGAGTCGAGAGTTGCTGAGCTCGTCTTCGAGGTATATGGTGACTCAATTAAAATGTTCAAGGATGTACTGTTGGAGAGAGGTTATAGATGAAATCAAAATAGTTTTGACAGCACCAGTCCATCATTGGAAGTTAAATTTATTCTTTCTCAAATTTTTAAGCATAATCGGAGAAAATTAAACAGATGATATGGATTTGTTGTGTTTATTTACAGTTTTCAATTGTTCTTTTTGTCTTCACCATCGCACATTCTTGTGGCAGCATAATCCCCACGGTGGAAGTGTTACAAGGACCAGGTAGCAGAACCACCCTACTGGGTCCAGATGGGGGTGCAGTGGATTCAGCAGCCCCAGGTGGGACAGTTGTAACAAATTCTTTTGGCACTGGATTGGTAGCTGCAGGACCAGCAATTCTCCCAGCAGGTGAGGGAATTTTGTATTTTTGGCAAAAATTAATAGTGGTAAACCTGATACACTCTTTTTCTTTCATTTCTCGATTTCAATATGAGAAACGAAAATTAATGTTGATGTGAGATATTGTATGGAAGTGATCCGATCTATCATGATGAGATTATTCTCCACCTTGCCTTAGATTTTCGAGAAGTCTTGATGAACTTCGAAAGAAAGTGCTCTATTTCTGGAGAATGGAAATAAGCGTTTCATCAGTCAGCAAAGGCATTACGGTTCAAATCAGATTTTAAGTAAATCACTGATTCCATGTATACATTATAGGTCGCCCAATAGTAGTCAGTGGACCTGCTGGATCAATTGCAACTAGCTATACGGGAGCTGGGCCAGCAATAGTTCCTGCTGCAGCTGCTGTTCCAGTTGCAGCTGTGAGAGCCATTTCCACTGATGAAGGAGACTACATTCCTGACATCTCTGAGGCATTGGGTGATGATGGGTCATATAGAGGAGAACACTAGATATATCAGGAGCCACAGATTGTTGATGTTATTAGAAATTTGCATATTGTGTGGTTTTATATTATTATTGTAAATAAATCACATATTTTGTATCATCATAATCAGTTACGAATCCCATGCAAATAAACTTTCAAGAAATTATTTGATGAACGGTGCAAATTGTTTTCACGGAAAAACATGGATCGTTGGTATCAATATAAATATAACGATTGAAAATTTCAATTGCATTTGCCAATTTCATTAGTTCGGACTTCCATTGTCTAATGTGATATAAATTGATTCGAAATCCCTGAAACAATCTGTAAAAAATTAAAGAAATTAGCACAGAAATAACAATTATATCAAGCAAAAAACTGAAATTACAGTGAAATAAAATACAAGCAAAAACCAAATAATCAAAAAATTGAACTATCAATACGAGATGAAAATAAAAAAAAATGGGTAACAAGAAATGAAAATTTAAAATTAAAAGATATCAAATCAATTGGTACAATTGCGGTTTCAAGTATCAAATATAGATAAACTTTCTTCTTCTTCTGCACAAGTCATTTGGACGAATTGTTTAAAATTTATCATGAGAAGATTGACTTGACGCAATGCAGTAAGCCATTACGCGTCGTCGCGTTTACAGTAAGACGACGAGAGATGATGCACGGGGGTAATAGGGCGGTCTGAGCAATGCAGCGCCATCGCCGAAAACGGGCAGAACGCCCGAACGCGGGCAGACGTGTGAGGGCAGTCATCGTTGTCCATTGTGTTTGTTTTAACATAATTCGATAATCGAAACTATTCATTACTAAGTGCAATTGGTATATGTTTTGAGTTACTGAATTTTTAAAGTAATAACTATCAATACGAGATAAGAATTAAAAAAAAATAGGTAACAAGAAATGAAAATCAAAAGATTTCAAACCAATCGGTACAATTGCGGTTTCGAGTATCAAATATAGATAAACTTTGTCTTCTGCACAAGTTATTTGGACGAATTGTTTGAAATTTATCGCGAGAAGATTGACTTGACGCAATGCAGTAAGCCATTACGCGTCGCGTCTACAGTAAGACGAAGGGAGATGATGAGTGGAGGTAATGGGGCGGTCTAAGGAATACAGCGCCATCGTCGAAAACGCGTCCCGAACGCGGGCAGACGCGTGAGGGCAGTCGTCGTTGTTGCGAATTTCTTTATTGGTAACATAATTCGATAATCGTAGCTATTCATTACTAAGTGCAATTGGTATATTTTTCAAGTTACTGAATTTTTAAAGAAGAAATATAGAGTTCAACTGTTGCCCGTGGCTTTGCCGGCGTAGAATTTGGTTTGTAACATTAGATGTTAGAAATCACACCTTGAAAGGTAAGACCTTGTAAGTCCTTAGCTCGCACAAGTTTCTCAACTCCTGAGAGTTGTCGTTCGTATGGGGGCGACAGCTGATTAACGGATGAACATATTTTAAACAGATTTTTTTTTAAGTTCCGCGTTAGACCATTTCAAACAAATAGATACAATATTTTTCTATTAACCCAAAATTTCAGGTTTCCAACTTGAAAATTGCCGAAATTCAATACAATCTTTGGGCCCCTATTTTTTCCTTGGGGGCAGCCTACCTGCATATTTCAAGGTTCTGGGTTATGTAGTTTAGGCTACTGTGAGTATTACTGAGTTGTTCTGATTGAAATGTCATCATACATCAAAAAAAATAGTATGTGATGAGAAACAAATCATTTCGTTCAGGACTGCTCTTCAAAAAATATATCTAAGATCTGAAACATATTTTTTTATATTTACTTTCGATGATGTGCTTATTCTACTTTTGAAGATGATTTCATCCCCATTTTTCTCATATTCACAAACATTTTGAAAACTCTTTGCAATCTAGTGATTGCAGTCGGAACTATATGCTAGCTCACACTAATCTACCAGAGAAAGCTACTACTAACTTCTAGGGAAGGTTTCATAGTCACATGATGCTTCATCAGCTGCAAGGTAAATTGTCGTGAAAATTGATAACTCGCCAAATATTTTAAAATTCCAAAATGGGAAATGATCATTGGAAGTTGCTTCATGCACATTTCGCGGTAAAAAATACAGGCAAGTTCAATCATCTTGTTGGAACTTTACGTACTGACTCCGTTTCAACGCGTCAGTCAGACTTGAGAATACTTCTCAATTATAGAACTGGTAGTTACTTGATAAAAATCCTCAAGTTATCCAAACAACATTTTTTCGTGAGATTTCCACTGGACAGTTTACGAAATCGCAACACGTGTTTTGCTATACAATAGCTTCCTAAAGCGTTTTCACACTGAGAACATTCCACTTGATTTGTGCTTCAAATATTAACAATTTGAATCATCTGACCTTCTACATAGGTATTGACTAATTAGTTCATCTGAGTTTAGGTAGAAAGTAATTGATATTTTTGAAAATCATAATTTGAATATCATGACAGAAAATTTCACATACGATGAACATATAACGAAATACCTACCAATTTCCACGACAATGAACAATAATAGGTGTCATTTAAGTATCCACGAATAATATCGCCTGTTTTTTGTAGCCTCCCGGCTAAATGATAATTTTGGCAAATCCATTAAAACAACAGAGACAAAACTTCAATGTCGGATAAATGTTAGGGTCAGCTCGCACAAGTTTCGACTTCTGAGGGTTATCATTCGTAGGGGTGCGATAGCTGGTTAACGGAAAAAACATGTGAGCTGACCTGTAGTTCTTGCCCAAAACTTTATAGTGGCCAAACGAAAAGAACATTTTTCCAGCCAATACAAGAACACACTAGTAGTCTCTTGAATATGAAGATCAATTTCACATTTGCAGACCATCTTCTGATAGATGGAATAGAGTGAATAGTGGATGGATGGAGTGACTTGAAATTAGAAGATTTGACAATAACAACATTTTTTAACTTTCCAAACTTCATATATGTAGGTTCTCTTCCAAGTCGTTTATTTTCTAGAACAGACGTCATTCTATCCAATAAATCATATTATTATATCAAATCCAGGAATTCCATCTGGTCCAGAATTTCATAAGTGAAAAAAAGAAAATGGAAAGATCGCAGGTTTCCGGGGTCCTGTATTCAGTATTTACAGGAAACGTTTCGAAAAGGAACTCCGGCTAAAGTATAAAAAAATCGTGAACTTTCCAGCTTTCCCTCGTAAATAGCTATTGGAAGTGACAGTTTGCTGTTCTCACCAAAACGCCAACGACCACACCCTTTACCGGACGAGTAATTTGCTACAAGACAAGGTCTTTACAGGAATAATGTGATCGAGTTTTTGTTTTACACTCTTTTTTTTGCAGAATATTCAGCGACCGAGATATGCCGGTGGGTACAAGGTTAAGTTAAACGGCAATTATTAGAAATGTTGCTTTGTTTCACGAATAAAAAGCAAATTGCTATGTTAAAAGAGATAGGTACATGTAGCAGGGTAAGTACTTTCTGAAAATAGTCTTTCAGTTGGTAAATTTTCGTTATGTGGACACCCGGCGATTTATTTCTGAACTTTGGAGGGCCGTAACTTTTTAAATAAGGGAGAGCGCCGCTTTTTTCTTTCGGATTCGTAATCAACGCATCAAAATACGTAAGTACCTACAGTCAAAAATTTTTTCAAAATCGCCGGGTGTCCACATAACGAAAATTCACCCTTGACTTATAATGAAACTAGATAGTTGTGATCCAACACCAGAAAGCATTGTTTCAACACGCCGAGGTCTCATCAGTGGTGTTAGGCTGACCCACTCAACTGTACTTGAAAGAAATTGTCTGAAATTTGCGGTGATGATATATTTTCCTACGGAAACGCCATATATGGGATTGACAGTAGATTCATTCTACCAAAGATAAGCGGTACTATTCAAGATGATCAGTTCAAAGCCAAGCTGTGTTTCGCCGCAGCTTTCACTGCTAGGCACCTAGCGTGTGATTCCGTTCTAGGACCCGTTATTTCGACCCGCTAACAAGCCGGAAAGTGAAGGTGATGACAATGCCCCCACTACAAATATTATAACCCTACAGAAAAAAAACTGTACCTATTGTACATTCTGATTGTCATTCAACCAGGTCTTCCGCTTTTCATGAATTTACCACACCCTGTTCGTGTTATTTGGAATGCAATTCCGAAAATATTCAGAATGTCGGTGTACACTTATGCAAAATTCCTCAAAACTGACCAAAATGAAACTTATTATTCTCGTAGGCATACGTAGTGTAATAGGGTCCATTAGAAAATTGTTTCGAAATTCTGATTCGCATCCTCGAAAACCACTAGGCACAAAATCATTTTGAAATCTGATTTTCGTAACATTAACAAGAACAAGAAAAGTATCACGTACGTCACTGCAAAATAAAAACTCTATATGAAATTTCATTTTCATCCATTCCAATAGTGAAAAATAGCGATTTTAATAAAAAAATGTAGTACATTAACTGAGAAAATAGCGGTTTAGCGACTATAACTTCTTTCATTAAAAAAATAATTCTACACTTTTTTTAATTTGTTTTGGGCTTTTCCAAACAATTTCGTACGCAGGAGTTTTTGGTGATGCAGGAATAATTTTCATTTATATCGACTCCCAGTTCACTTTTCGTGAATAATTGACCCTATTTGCCCCCCCGTAAAATACTACACACCAATGTTCCAAATATGTTTTGAATTGATTTCTAAACGACAGAGATAGAGAAGTGGATTCATGAAAAGCGGAATATTCTGTATTATCAATGACACGTGCAGGTGAGGTTCAGTAGAGCATGAAAGTATGAACGAATATGTGAAAAAACGAGTTCCATATGAACAGTGAAGTAAAATATAACATCAACTAGCTGACCCTGCAAGAGTTGTTCTGACATAAAACTTATTACGAATCGCAAAAAAAATTCATCAGAATATTTTTTTTAATGGGACACCCTAAATCGCCTAGCGGTAGGAAATATACTTTACGATCAATTCTCATATTCACCAAATATAGACAAAACATTTCATAAAAAAACGGTCGATTTGGAGGAATGCGATCAGAAACATAGTTATACGAGATTTTTATAAATGAAAAAAATGTGTGACTACAAAATTAATTATACTAGCATCATGGTTTCAATTTCGATGATTTAGTAGATCCATTTTATTTCAAGGCTGAGATGTCAAATCATTCTCACTTCTACAAGTAGAAGTGAGGAAAACCATCAACGTCTCATATCTCCCACTGGAAAATAATTCTGTCGAAAGTTTTGTATAATCAAGTCACATCACTTCATTGTTTATCAGAAAAAAACATTTTTCGGAACAGAATCAAAAAATGTTAAACTTCGGACTTGAAGGGTTAAAATTAAAAGATTTCAAACCAAGTTATGTCACGACGTTTCGATTGTTAGTATCTACAATCGTCTTCGGGTGATAACAACTGTTTCATTGCTATTTCATTTATAATATTCTTCGTTTATTTCTCAATGTTCAATATAGGTACTCTCCCCAAATTGTTTCCTAAAATATTATTCAGTTAAATTATCAAGAAGGTACTATGCTTCCTATGATAAAGGTTTCATTACTTTGAGAACACCTTCCCCATGACAGATGAAAATGGAAAATAAAATCAAGTAAAATTTGAACTGGTTTCTTGCTGAATATATGAAAATTAATAAATTCGATTATAATTCAATTGTTTCGAATCAAAAATCATATGGTTTATGCTTATTCCGTTTTATATATTATTCATGAGTTTCTCAGTCTTTAATATTTTCAGACATTGTTGGGAAATTCAACTGAAAAAATTTCCCAACAATATATATATATATCCTTCCACAATCTGAAAAATAAGCAAAACTGAATCAACAGAGAATCTGCAAACTGAAAAGTTCACCTCGAAAAGCTACTGCGTAATATAAACCACTGAAGAATCCAATTGAAAAAATTAAATACTCATACTAAGCTTTCTTTAGTGCTCGACGTTCCGGAAAACACTTTTTCCGTTTCCAAAACCTGGAATTCACTATAAAACTTTCGCCTCACTCAGGGATAATTCGAAATATTCTGGGAAGAAGTCTAAAGAACCCACTTGTGAATACATGAGGGCTAGAAATTCCGCCCTTCAAAAATTTCTATGATTGTCAAAAACATTTGAGGGTATTCGAAAAAGCATTTTACATTCCAGAACAAACTGGAACTTTCTGAAATAATTATCATAATTTTTCCTTGGATATATTCGAGAATGTGAAATTTTGAATTAATCATTCTGAATTCGAAAAATTTCCAATTATTTTGGACCCTATCAAAAAATATAGGAATTATTGTCAAATTGTTATTATGGGTGATTCTCAAAAACTATATCTATGGTTTTCATATCTCGAATGCTCATCTGGACTCGGTCGAAAGAAAATTATCCAAGTGATTTTCGAAGATATTTATATTCCTTACAAACTATCTATACAAAATCAAAATCAATGATACACTTCAGGTTTGTATGAACCGTCATCGAACAGCTTCTCGCTTACATCATGCACGTAAGCACCTTCTGCCCCAGATCCAGAGGGCACCAATCCGTAGGGGCTAGCGCTCAAAGGAATGGGATGAGCTTCAGGTTTGTATTCACCGTCATCGTACAACTTCTCGAGGTTGTCCTGGACGTACTGTCCTTCGAGTCCTGATCCAGCTGGGACCAAACCGTAGGGACTAGCAGCCAAGGGCACTGCGCGAGCTTCTGGTTTGTAGGAACCGTCGTCGTAGAGTTTCTCGGTGTGGTCGTGGACGTATTGACCTTCGAGGTCGTGACCGGCTGGGAGGACGGCCAAGGGGGCGGCGTAAGCGGTAGCGTAAGGGGCGGCCAGGTAGGGAACAGCATACGGGGCAGCAACTACTCCTGGAGCTACGTAACCATGTGCTGTGGAGATGACTCCGGCACTGGCGTACGAGAGTGCTCCTAGGGCAAGAACTACGGCCTATAATAGTAAAGATAGTGTTATTTTCCTTAAATATTCGGAAAGTATGATGTACTTATATGAATATGATCATCACACATTTTATTTGTATTTATTGAAATACTGTGTTTTCATACTCAACTTTATTTTTACTTTCCCACATTCCTATTCAGTTTATATTTTTATGCTTTGCCAATAAGAACGTTTTTTTAGACATTGTAAAACATTTTGAAATGATTTTGTTTTCCTTTTGATATGTAGAGGGTTATATTATTATACTGCATAACACTAGTGGTATAAAACGGCGACGTTTGATGTATTCATCAATAGTTGGGAACGGTAGAATTCAGAAAAAAAAGTGTTTTTTGATTTGATTTAACTATATAACTTGAATAAAAAAACATGTTGAAATTAATATGATTTATTCTTTTGCTTTTTGAATTATTTCGGTTGTTTGTGGGCCAAAATTTTTATTTGAATTGATGTCCAATGTAAAATATTCATAGATTTGATGCATTATCATTATGCATAACACTGAAAAATGTATGTATAAATGTTTTGTTAAATGGGAAATGACACGATTTTTCATATTTTTCTACCTATCCGTTAAGTTTTTGTTTTGTTTGCTCGCACAAAGTTAAATAGTATTTCGTCTACCAATCATGGATGGAAATCAAATCAATTTATGACATCATTTTTAAATACGAAGTGAGAAGGAACATCAAAATGTGAAATCAATTGTTCTGGACATGAGCCTTATTGGTTATTGAATATTCTGTTAGTGAATATAGACTCGAAAAAAAAAACAGCATTAGGTGAAATGCTGTCATCAGAATTCATTGAAAATGGCGTGGCTAAATATTTCACTTCATGAGTTACCATCGTCGTTGAAATTCTATGATTATGTATATTTTGCACTTTTTATTTTGTTTTAGATATAATATGAACACGGATGAAGTATTCATCAAACTATCGCTTTAATGCCACTGCCAGAAAATAATTGAATCCAATGTAGAAAGTAGTCATTCTGCATATTCATTCAAAATCTTACAGATTATAGACATATGTTATTTAAAAGTTCTATCAGAATATTAAATGGAATTATTATTGAATTGTGATTGGGAAACAAACATAAATATTAATGTTGAATAACAAAAATGAATAGAAACATTACTAAATTGTATCTGAAGCGTTCACCGAAGCTGTGAAATATTGTGGTATTAGTTCATCGAAGACAAAAACGATTAGTAATAATTACGAAACGTGGTTACTCAATCAATGTACTTACGAATGCGTTCATTTTGATTGGACCTGTTAGCTGTTTTGGAACCCGAACAAGTGATGTCCGAACTAGGTGTCCACAACGTTTTATATTCCGAAATCAACCTTGTCCACGCCCAAATTTCGTACAAGATCACACAAAATAGTTCAGTTCTTTCCGCGAGCTTAACCTAAATAAAAAAACTGTCGTCTTGTTGACCGGTTTTTTTAAGAATGCGCAGAACGATAATTCGCTGGAAGATAGTTTTCAGTAATACTTATTTGAAACTAGAGACGTATCAAACAATAAACAACAAAAGATGATACCTTCTTACGAAACTGCAGCTGCATGAACAGGTGTTTGAGTTTGATGAATAAGTAGAAAACATTCCCGTTCTCGTTCATCATTAAAACTTCGTTCTTGAAATTCTTCATCATTAACAACACTTGTAAAATGCTATTCATGTAGCAAGTGTTTCCTAAATTACCCAATTCAATTTTCTTCTCTAGATTTTCAAGACAACCATCTACTGATTCGTAAAGAAGAACATGTTTCACAGAATCTCCATAAGGACCAATTCTCAAGCTGCAATCGATCCTTCCAAGTGAAGAAGGTTTTCGTAGAGGGATCGATTCGGCTCTTGCTTCATGAAGCTTTTCCACTGAAAGAGAACCAGTTCTACGAGGCCTGCAACTCATATTTGGGGGGCAAGAATGACCTGAGTCCACTGACCGCACTGAAAAAAAAGAAGGTGGATGAATCACTTGTGAAGTGACCTTGATAGGAGACTGATGAATATCCACATATCTCGGCATTGAGACTGATGAATATCCACATATCTCGGCATTGCCACGTTGAATAGCAATACTAATTCTTTCTACCAAAAAAGAAGTAGAACGGTGATCTTTCGTTGCTTGGCCTATTCTCCTTCCAAGTTCCTTCCATTTCCAACAGGATCATAACCATGTTCTTCTCTTCGTTGAAGGATTCCTTCACCCGGTGAACAAACCGGTTAGATAGAAAGTCATATTCCAACATCATCGGAACATGAATTTCTCCTCGGGAATGAGATACATCCGATCTTCCAGGCTAAAAATTCTACTGAGGAGAATTTTATCAATGACCTTGGCCACCGCACTGAACAGCGAGATCAAGCGAAAGCTACTCGTATCCATAAGATTTTTTTCGTATGAAGTGAATCCTAAAGAATCTAGGCTGCCGATTTTGATATCAGTTGAATGCAAAATGTTTGCCTTTTAGATGATGGAGAAAGAATATACCCAACCATTATCAAAATGTATTCAGAAGTGTCCATAAAATATGATGAGTTTAGATTTTGACTTTCTATTTTTCCATCTTTATATAGGAAAATGTTGGAATGAACACTGAATTATACAAAAAAAACTTTTCCCTATTCAGTTTGTGTTTCAAAAATTCGTTAAGGAAATTAATTAGATATCAATCAGAGCAGAGGTGAGCAACATTTTGAATCAAAGGGCCAATTAAAATTTTGAATTTTTTTGGCTGGAACATAATGCGAAAAAGCACAACAGCCATGGGAATCTTGTTTGAATTGAAAGGGTTATATTTTTTGGTCAGAATAATTTTTCGGAAAGGAAGAAAGCAACCAATTTCAAAAAATAATCCCTACATAAACATGTGTGGATCATGCGAAGAGTTGCTATTGGCAATTCATTTTTTTTTATTTTTCAAATGTTGTTTTTCAATATAGACTTCTATGTTAGTGATATTCACAGAAACGAATAAATTTGTCATTATAAAGTTTCTGGAAATTATGGAAAAAGTTATTTCTGAATTGAAAAATACGAATTTTCAAAACTGACAGTCTCTTATGAGATATTTTTGCGAGTCAGTGTGAATTACTCAATTTTTGAAGCATGGAAATAATAAAGATATAAAACTCCAGAACAAGTACATTTTGACTGAAAATCATAAACACCATGACATGTTTTCTTCGATAACGGTTATTTTGGTTTACTAATAACGTTGTGGAATTGGCCGCGGTGGTAGTGCGTCCGACTTATGATCGGAAGGTCGTGTGTTCGATTCCCGCCTCGACCAGATATATTTCTCGAGAGAATTTATCTGGTTGAAGCTGGAATGATTCTGCAACCGTGTTAGAAATCACACGTTAAAAGGTAAGACCTCGTTAGTCCTCAGCTCGCACAAGTTTCTCAACTTCTGAGAGTTGTCGTTCGTATGGGGGCGGCAGCTGATTAACGGAAAAACAGATTGAAAAACAGATTTTAAACAGATCTTAGAAGCAGCATTGCCACGTTGAATAGCAATACTAATTCTCTCTATCAAAAAAGAGGTAGAACGGTGATCTTTCGTTGCTTGGCCTATTCTCCTTCCAAGTTCATGAACGAATTACAAAGACTCCGGGCCATAAACACCAAAAGTTTCAACCGCTACTGGATAAAACAGTAGTTTTCTTTTCAATTTCTCGCCAAACAATGCTGCAGTTCCAGCAGACTTGGAACTTTCGGCTAGATGAGAAGCCGCGACCATGTCAACGCAAGTGAAGTCCCAAAATTATTGCGAATAGCCGTTTTAAAACATATTGAAAAGGTCAATTGCTCAGGTAAGATTCAAGAATCCTAATCACAAATAAGGGGATACCTGCCTATCTATCATCTTGGTGACAAACTCCTCTTTCTAAATTTCATCTAAAGCTTTCTGGATTTCCAACAGGATCATAACCATGTTCTTTTCCTCGTTGAAGGATTCATTCACCCGGTGAACAAACCGGATTAGTTAGAAAGTCATATTCCAACATCGTCGGAACCTGAATTTCTCCTCGTGAATGAACTACATCCGATCTTCCAGGCTGAAAATTCTACTGAGGAGAATTTCATCAATGACCTTCGCCACCGCACTGAACAGCGAGATCAAGCGAAAGCTACTCGTATCTATAAATTTTTGTTCGTATGAAGTGAATCCTAAAGAATCTAGGCTGCCGATTTTGATATCAGTTGAATGCAAAATGTTTGCCTTTTAGATGATGGAGAAAGAATATACCCAACCATTATCGAAATGTATTCAAAAGTGTTCATAAAATATGGTGAGTTTAGATTTTGACTTTCTGTTTTTCCATCTTTATATATGAAAATGTTGGAATCTACCAATACTGAACACTGAATTACACAAAAAAAAACTTTTCTCTATTCAGTTTGTATTTCAAACATTCGTTGTGGAATAGAAATCAGATATCATTCACATGAGTTCTACTTTAAATGAATGGTAACAAATTGCACTTACATGG